ACTCCCCAAGTGAGTACAATGGCCAGTGCTATGCCGATCCGAAGCCAGGAACCTGGAGCCTCTTCCAGGTCTCCCATGCGGGTGCAGGGTCCCAAGGCTTTGGGCCGTCCTCGACTGCTTTCCCAGGCCACAAGCAGGGAGCTGGATGGGAAGTGGAACTTCCGAGATTAGAACCGGCGCCCATATGGGATCCTGCCACACCCAAGGTGAGGACTCTAGCTGCTAGGTCACTGTGCCAGATCCCCTATTTACTTATTTTTAAAAATTATTTTTAACATTGTTTACGTAGTTGAGAGTGATGCACACCCATGAGGGTCTTGATTTGCAGAGGGTTGAGGTATGCAGGAAAGTGGGTGCGACATATGTTTCAGTTTTTTTTATTCTGTAGTATCTGCAGGCGGAATGGGAGGGGAACCACTCCTTCCTGTCAAACTACATTGACACCTGGGAATGGCAGTCATTTGATGATGCCTTAGAAAATGTGATGATGTGGGGGCAGGTGAGGCAAGAACCATGAGAGGGAGTAACCCAGACCAGGCCAAGAAACAATACCCACCAGCACACATTTGGCACAGGTCGGGGGCAGACCAGGCTGAACCAGTTCACATCATGCACTGGCGAATCTGAGTACTGGAATAGAGTGTGGGTCAGGCTGGATTTGGTGGCAACACACACCAGTTCACATAACGGCTGGGACTGGGTGCCCGCTGGGCTGAACGAGGCTGTAATTCCCACCAACATGAGCTGGAATTGGGGGTTGGCTGGGCCAGGCCGGGCTACTGGTAAACGTGGAGGCGAGGTGAGACATGTAAGACTGGGCCGCAGCACCCAACCAGCACACGTGAGAACCAGGAGTGCTGAGGGGACAAAGGTGGTAGAGGGAATGCGGAGGGCTCCTCTGCTGGAACACCTCTTTCACTGGAGAGCGTGAGTTGGAATGGGAACAGACCAGACCAGACAAGGCTACACCTGTGGGCCTCATGTGAGCTAGATCAGGGAAAAGCCAGGCTAGACTGACTGTTCCAACTGGTGCAAGCATAAATCAGAGTGGGTGAGGGTTGGTTGGGCTTTGCCACAGATGCTGGCACTGGGGGCTAATTCTGTCAAGTTAAAATGCAGAACCACCTGAAGAGTGCATGATCCGGGAGTGGGGAGGGGCCCGTAGGGAAGCAATAGGCATTTCCTTCTGGGTTGCCATTCCATCTGGTGAGCATGAGAACCAGGACTGGGGCAGGCATGGCTAGACATAATGGCACCTGCCCACATATGTGTGAGCTAGATAGTTGGGCTGGGGTTGAACTAGGCTTCAATGCCCATTGACATGTAGGAGAGCTGAACGAGATGTGGGATAGACTAGACCTGTCTACTGTACATACTGGCAAGCATAGGAACCAGGGCAGGGGGTAAGCCTGGTGGAGGTTATTGTGGGTTACTCCGACTAGACTGAGGCTCCCACTGGTTTGTGTGAGGGTCATAATTGTGGTAAGCAGGATCATGCTGGACTGCAACACCCACTGGTTCATGTGGAAGACAGGGCTAGAAATAGAACTGACCCGGCAATTGTAACCACCAACATATGCATAAGCTGATTAGGGTGATGGACTGTGCTGGACCCTGCACTGGCATTCACACACAAGAATCAGGCCTGGGATCATCTCAGATGAAGATTCTTTGGGGAACCCTCCAACTAAACTGATCTCAGAACCACAACCATGAGAAGTGTAGTTTCCAGTTTGACCATGGAGTGCATGTGTCAAAGCTGTCTCCTCAGAGGCTCAGACAGAGCAATGGACAGCATATCCAGGTGCACATGGAGGAAATGGCTGTCCATTAGAACCTGCAGAGGACACCTAGTACCACAACAGAGGATGGAGGACAGAACAAATTGATCATCTACCCCAGCCAAGTATTGACAGTGAAAATTTGGGCAAATGGAGACTCTAAGGTGGACTGTCAGCCAGTGGATCCTGGAGAGATTTCATCGTGCTTGGAATGGTGAGATTGGCAGCAATTCAGAACTGTTAAACTATCAAAACCACTTGAGCAGGCCTGGCGCAATGGCCTAGCGGCTAAAGTCTTTAACTTGAATGCACTGCGATCCCATATGGGCGCCAGTTCTAATACTGGCTGCTCCACTTCCCATCCAACTCCCTGCTTGTGGCCTGGGAAAGCAATTGAGGACAGCCCAAAGCCTTGATCCTGCACCCGTGTGGGAGACCTGGAGGAAGTTCCTGGCTCCTGGCTTCGGATCGGCATAGCACCGGCTGTGGCAGTCTCTTGCGGAGTGAATCATTGCACAGAAGATCTTCCTCTCCGTCTCTCCTCCTCTCTGTATATCTGACTTTGTAATAAAAAGAAAATAAATCTTTGGGGGAAAAAAAGCACGTGTGCAGGGCCCTCGGAGCATGCCCCACGTCGGGAACCCTCAAATGGGTGGGAGGCTGGGTGGGGCTTTTTCCTTTATCTTCTCCCTTACCCCAGAAAAAAAGAGAGAGAGAGAGAGAGAAAACAAAACAAAATAAAACAAACCAACAACAAAGAAGAAAATGTGATGCGGGAAGAATGTTCCAAGGGTGTTACTTGAGTGATTTTGATAGTTTTCCAATGTTGATGGCAGCTTTGTTACACCAGGGTTGATAAAATCTTCCCAAGGCCCATGGCTTACCAAGTCCACCTTAGCGCATCCACAGACCCAGGAACATGTAGCAAAGCTTGGCTAGGAGAGTTGTCTAACCTGTTCTGCTTTCTATCCTCCGACAGGGCGCCAACATTCCTTGCTTGCCTAGATGAGCTGACTATCATGTCCACAGTATGCATCTGGGCCTGCTATCTACTGCATAGGCATCAGCAATTGAGGAGGCCCAGTGCCAGTACACACACTCCAAGGTTGAAACACACATCCTGTGATTTTTCCCTATGCTCATGGACTGGGCCCAGTGGTCTAGACTTACCTGAGGTGACCTCAGGCTTGACTCATGTGTGCTAGCTAGCATAGAGTCAGGTTTGGCCTGTCACCTGCACCAGCCAACTCACATACTAGTGGATGAAGCTGCTTGGTCAGTTCCACCCCAGACCCATATCTCACATGAACCAATGGGTGCTGCAGTCTAACCCAGCCAGGCTGCCACAGACCCGGTCCTCATGCATACCAGTGAGTGCCACAGTGCCTCCAATAACCTCTGTCAGGCCTGTCTCCAGGCCCAGGTTTTTGTGTGCCAGCATGTGCTGCAGTCTAGCCTGATCCATTTCACACCCCTTCTCACTCTCATGCATGCACACCCATGGGTGCTGCAGCTTAGCTCATCCCATCCAGTCCTCAGATCTGGCCCACATGTATGCCAACAGATGCTGCCACCTTGACTAGCCTGGCCCACTCCCAACCCTGATTCTCATGCTCTCTAGTAGGAGCCGGAGCCCAGCAGAGGAATGTCCATGGTTCCCCTACCAGTCCCATTCCAGCCCTGAATCTTGCACCTCCAGGGTGCACTGCAGTTCAGCCTGACATGACTTGCACCCAGTCCTGGCACTTACCAACTACTGGTGCTGCAGCCTAGCCAGGCTGGCCCACATCCATTCTGACTCTCTCATGTAGCCTAGTAGGGGAGTCCCAGGGTTCCCCTTCCAGGCCTTTTTCCATCTCTGGATCTTATGTGTACTTCTGAGTGCTTCAATCCAGCCTGGCATGGCCTACTCACTATTGGGTGTTGCAGCCTGTCCAGCCGGGCAAGGCCCACACCCTGTCTCAGCTCTTGTGCATGCCACCAGCTGCTGTGCCCTGACCCAGCCTGATCAGCCACCAGCCTCAGCTATTGTGCTCCCCATGTGTCCCTACCAGGTGTACTAGTTCCAGATCTCCTATGTGCCAGCAGGTGCTATGGCCCAGCTTGGCATGGTCTGCCCTCAGTCCTGCTTTTTCTGTGTGTGCTTGTGGGCGGCAGGTGAAGTTATTTATTCCAGCACAGGTCTCCCATGTGGATGAGTGTCTTGGCTTGATTCAGATATGTCCTCTGGTTTCCCCCCCTTTCAACCACTTCATCTCAATTTGCTCACCTATCTGTGAGTACAGTGTCCTAGTCTGTGGAAGAACCCAGAAACCATTCCTCCTCTGTCATGCCCTCATCCACGCCAATAAATCTCTAGACACCCTTCCTTGGGCAATCTACAGCACGCTAGCCTGATGGCTGGATGGCATGTTCTAGGCACATACTGCCTTCCCACATATCTTAAAAAAGAAGGGGGGCTGGCACACTGGCCCAACAGCTAATCCTCTACCTCCAAGCACAGGAAACCCATATGGGCGCTGGCTCATGTCCCAGTTGTTCCATTTCCCATCCAACTCTGCTTAGGGCCTGGGAAAACTGAGGAGGCTGGCCTTTGAACCCTGCACCCATGTGGGAGAGCTCCTGGTTTCAGATCAGCTCAGCTCCGACCACTGTGGTCACCTGGGGAATGAACCAGCGACCAAAGATCCTTCTCTCTGTTTCTCCTTGTCTCTGTAAATCTGCCTAAACAATTAAAAAAAAAAAAAAAGGAAAGAAGTGCAGTAGCTGGAAACCTCTATGGGTTGCCCACTACACAGGTTGTGGCTTTACTTGCTACCCCACAATACCACACCCTGCACTAGTTCTCTAAAATTAATTTTTGGAGGGCTACTGTGAGCACAGCCCGTTGGCCTTGTCGCTCTTAATTATCCAAATCTCTTAACTGTACTTTGGTACTGGTATTCCTAACCCCGTTGTACTGCTAAACTGAGGTCCAAGGAGATAATACAGCCTCTGAATAAGGAAGCAAATGGTTCTAAGAGTCCTGAAGCAGCCTTACCCTGTTAGTAAGTACATTCTGCTTTTCAACTGCCTTCCTGCCGCTCTGAGGATAAGCTGCCGAAGCACCCAGGGCCGGCGGCGGCGCGCCTGCGCACAGACGCGCGCAGCAGCGGATGGGCGGGGCGAGCAGCGCCTTGAAAGGTCTTCCCGCCTCCAGGGGGCGCCCGACGAGTCCGGCTCAGCCCTCTGACCCCGGCAACGCGTCCCTTTGCGCGCCTAGGACTCTGGATTTCGGAATCTGGCTCCCAGCAACTTGTTCAGGTTTGAGGTTCCCGAGGGGAAGGGAAACAGGGGAAGCGAGTGGGTGGGTGAGCAGAGTGCAGAGAGCCGCCCGCTCCGGGGAGCATAGCCTCCCCCACTTCCTGCCCCTCGGAAGGACACGCAGAGAATGGGCTGCAGTGTGGGAGGTGGGCGCCGCTGGCCGACCCTCTCAGCCTTTGCCCCTCGGCTCTCCCCCGCAGGTTAGGCGGCCATGGAGCAGTTTCTGGCCCGGCTGTGCGGCACCAGCGCAGCGCGGCCGCTCCCGGTGTGGGAAGGGGACACCACGGGCCACTGCTTCACCCAGCTGGTGCTCAGCGCCCTGCCCCACGCGCTGCTCGCCGTCCTCAGTGCCTGCCACCTGGGCCGCCCGAGGTGGGTAGAGACAGCTGTCCGTGTTTGCCCGCAGGCCTCTCCCGCCTGTCACCAGGTAGGGAGGTCTCTGGACTAAGGAGAATAAAACTGAAGCGCAACCGCTTAGCAGAGTGCTATTCTTGGATAAGTTGTTTCCCTTCTCTGTGAGTCTTGAAGATTGTTGGGAAGTATAAATGAAACAGGGCCTTTACGCTTATAGAGCAGTGCCTGGCAACTAGAAAAAGAATATGGTTAAAAGGCAGTATGACACACAGATAGAGATCTTCCATCCAGCGATTTGCTTCTGGGCTGGACCAGGCGGAAGCAGGGAACTCCAGCCCCGTCTCCCCCATGTGGGTGGTAGGGAGCTGAGTACTTGGGCTTTCGTTGGCTGCTTTCCCCTGCACATTAGCCCAGAGGCAGATCAGAAGCCGCGCAACTGGATTCTAGCCTGTACTTCAGTATGGGCTGCTGGTGTTGCAAGTGGTGGCTTTACCGGCTGGTGCCTGGCATAGTTCTCAAACATGGTAGAACTCATCCCTGTTATCGATTGGCACATGCCCACACACAGCTGTCATGGGTTGAAGGCAGCATTGGGTAAGCAGTGTTTTTCATCAAAAAGTCTGATTTGTGTTGAATAAACTGTAGGTTCAGTTTCTCACCACTTACATGCCCGAGTGCTCCTAGGGTAAGAAAAACGTATGGGAACTCAGCTGGAGAAGCAGATGACAGTAAAAGAGTAAAACCGAAGCCTTTGGCCTTCCTGCGTTTAAGGCTCTAAAATGTGGGATGCTCAACTCATCCTGATTGTAACCTTAGTCCTTGTATGATCGGAGACAGCCGAGGTTAGTCTCTGGCTGCTGATAAAGCCCAGCATTCCGATGTCTCCGTAGGCTGATGACGGAGAGGGAGCCCATACAAGAGGAATTAGGGGCAGCTGTGTTGGCCAGGAGACACTACAGATCTGCTTGGTCTGGAGGGAACAGGACTAGTGAGGGTTGGGCAAAAGAGCCATCAAGCCAGCCTCAGATCTTCTTCCTTTACAAAAAAGATGAGCCAGCAAGGTGGGAGACCCAGTTTATACTTCAGTGTGCTCCTCTGCGAGGAGTGGCTGCTGGAGACTGGCCCACTCTTGGGAGCTCCTGGTTCCTAAGGAAGGGCAAGGAATACCATCACAGACTCAACAACAGTTCTGAATGACTGCTTCAACAGGCTTTGTGCAGAATCTCGGCAGAGGACCTCAGCTGGCTTTGGGTCTAGACTTCAGGCTTCTCATGGTACCAGGGAGGAAAGTGATATGGAGAGAGGCCTAGAGGCTGCTGAATGGCCAACTTGGGATCAGGAAACCATCTCCACCAGCCTGGTTTTTGTTCTTCTAGTCCCACATCTTGGAAAACTTGGTTCCTTTATTTATTTATTTATTTATTTATTTTTATTGAAAGTGCAGATTTACGGAGAAGGAGAGACAGAAAGATCTTCCATCTGCTTGTCCACTCCCTCAATGGCTACAGCAACTAGAGCTGAATCAATCAGAAGCTAGGAGCCAGGACCATCCTCTGGGTCTCCCACATGGGTACAGGGTCCCAAGGTTTTGGGCCATCTTCTACTGCTTTCCCAGGCCACAAGTGGAGAGCTGGATGGGAAGTGGAGCAGCCAGGACATGAACCGGTGCCCATGTGGGATGCTGGCACTTGCAAGCAGAGGATTAAGCACCAACTCCAATCTTTTCCTTCACAAAAAAGAGGAGCCAGCAACTCAATCCAGGTCTCTCATGTAGGTGGTGGTAGGAGCCCAAAGGCTGGCTCATCCACTGCTTTTGCACATTGGTATTAACAGGAACCAGAGCACCCGGGACTTGAACTGGTCCTCACATATGGGATACTAACCTGCTGTACCATGATGCCATCCCCCTTCCTCTTAAAGATTTATTTGTGGGCCCGGCGCGGTGGCGCAAGTGGTTAAAGGTCCTCGCCTTGCACGCCCGGGATCCCATATGGGCGCCGGTTCTAATCCCGGCAGCCCCGCTTCCCTTCCAGCTCCCTGCCTGTGGCCTGGGAAAGCAGTCGAGGACGGCCCAAAGCTTTGGGACCCTGCACCCTCGTGGGAGACCCAGAAGAGGCTCCTGGCTTCGGACCGGCATAGTATCGGCCGTTGCGGCTCACTTGGGGAGTGAAACATCGGACGGAAGATCTTCCTCTCTGTCTCTCCTCTCTGTATATCCGCCTTTCCAATGAAAAAAAATAATAAAAATAAATCTTTAAAAAGAAATAATAAAAATAAATCTTTAAAAAAAAAAAGATTTATTTGTAAGCATTTTTATTTACAGCCAAATTTCCTAGTGACTGAACTCTGCCAACAAAAAGCATAACAAGTTAAGTCCTTTTTTTTATTTATTTTTAAATTTGTATCTATTTTCATTGTATTCAAAAGACAGAGTTCTTCCACCTGTTGATTTACTCCACCTTGCCCACAACAGCCAGGACTGGGCCAAGACAGAGCCAGGAGGCCAGAACTCAGTCTGCCTCTGTTGTGGCGGCAGGGACCCACATATATCAAGCCATTTTTTGCTGCCTTCCCAGGGTGTGTGATAGCAGGAAGCTGGGTTGGAAATGGAGCCAGGATGTACAGCAGGTCCTGCAGTACAAGAACCTGGCATGTTAACAGCTGTAACAATGCCCCTGCCCAGTCCTCTTCTCTCTGTGAACCTTCAAGGCTTTCTAATACTGCTGCAGGTGTGTTTTCTGTAGTTGACTCTCAATGTGCACAAATCACCTGGCTCTTAGAAAAAAAATTTTTTTTTTTTGGTGGGGCTGGCTCCATAGAATAGTAGGTTAAGTCTTTGCCTGTGGCACCGGCATCCCATATAACTAGTTCAAGTCCTGGCTGTTCCACTTCTGCTCTAGCTCCGTGCTAATGCACAGTGGAAAGCAGCAGGGCCCCTGCATCTACATTGGAAACCTGGAAAGAAGCTCCTGCTTTGGATCAGCCCAGCTCCAGCCATTGCTGCCATTTAGGGAGTGAAACTATGGATGGAAGAGCTAGCTATCCTCTCTCTGTAATTCTGCCTTTCAAATAAAAATTTAAAATTAAAGATATAATAAATGTGAAAAAAGGAAATTCAATTTAAGGAACAGGCATGGTGGCTCAATAGGCTAATCCTCCCCTTATAGGCGCCAGGATCCCATACGGGTGACAGTTTCTGTCCTGGCTGCTTCACTTCCCACCCAGCTCCCTGCTTATGACCTGCAAAAGCAGCAGAGGATGGTCCAAGTCCTTGGGACCCTCTACCACTAAGAGACCCAGAAGAAGCTCCTGGTTTCAGATTGGCTCAGCTCTGGCTGGTTTTTGCAGCCATTTGGGGAGTGAAACAGCAGATGGAAAATCCTTACTGTCTCTTTCTGTAAATTTGCCTTTCAAATAGAAAAATAAATCTTTCTCTAAAGTGAATTTAAGAACAATCATAAGTAGACCCTTATATTAAAATGGAAGTGAGTTTTGGTGCAGTAGTTAGTATATTGCTTTGGACACCCACACCCTTTGTTGGAAGGCCTGGGTTTTAGCCCCACCTTTCCGAATCCAGCTCTCAGGTGCACCCTGGGAGGCAGTGGCTGGTGACTCAAATCCTTGGGATCCTGCTATCCACACAGGGGAGACCTTGACTGAGTTCCAGGCTCCTGGCTTTAGCCTCTCACAGCCCAGGCGGCATTTGGGGGAAATGATACAACAATTAGCTCTGTGTGTGTGTAACTCTCTAATAAATGAAAATGAAAAAGAAAGAAGTAAGTGTGGGTAGGCCAGAGCATGGGTAGAGTCAATCTGGAAGACTTCCTGGAAGAAAAGATCCTGGGTTCCAATGTTCAGTGAGATGGGGATAAGAGGAACAAATAGAAAAGGGCATTGGTGAGTACAGGTGAGGGAGTGATGGGAGAGAAGGGGTGTGTCTTTGACTGGGGTCCGCCACGTTGGGCCTTTTTTTCTCTCTTCCAACATGTCCCCAGGAGGCCAGATTCCATCATACGCTGTAGCCCTGGCTGGCGCCTCCGACTTGCAGCCTCCGTCCTGCTCGCCATCCTCCCATTGTTGGACCTTCTGCCAGCTGCGTTGCCACCAGGGGCAGGCCCAGGGCCTGTTGGGCTGGAAGTGTTTGCTGGGTGTGTGGCAGCTGTGGCCTGGATCAGCCACAGCCTCACCCTCTGGGCACTGGCTCATTCCCCTCACACCTGCTCCCGAGGGCCCTTGACCTTGGCTCTGACTGCCTTCCTGCCAGCCCCAGCCTTGGTGTTAACCCTGCTATGGCATTGCCAGCGAGGCACACTTCTGTCCCCACTTCTCCCAGGGCCCCTAGCCCGTCTCTGCCTTCTCCTCCTGCAGTTGACTGCCCTCTTGGCTTATGGTCTGGGCTGGGCAGCCCCAGGGGGTCCACAGAAACCCCCAACCCAGGAACTCCTCATACCTGAGGAACAAGAACCAGAGGTGGCCGAAGATGGAGAAAGTTGGCTGTCCCGCCTGTCCTATGCCTGGCTGGCACCTTTGATGACCCGTGGTGCCTGTGGCAAGCTACAGAGGCCCCAGGACACCTGCCGTCTCCCCCACAGGCTGCATCCATCCTACCTGGCCCGTGCCTTCCAGGCACAGTGGCAGGAAGGTGCTCGGCTGTGGAAGGCTCTGTATGTGGCATTTGGGCGGTGCTACCTGACTCTTGGACTGCTGAAGCTGGGGGGAACCATGCTTGGGTTCTCTGGACCCTTGCTGCTCTCCTTGCTGGTGGGCTTCCTGGAGGAGGGGCAGGAGCCCCTGAGCCATGGTCTGCTCTATGCCCTGGGACTGGCCGGTGGGGCTGTCCTGGGTGCCATACTGCAGAATCAGTATGGGTATGAGTTACGGAAAGTGACCCTGCAGATTAGGGGGGCGGTGCTGAGCCTCCTGTACCGCAAGGCTCTCCAGCTCGGGCCCAGTCGCCCTCCCGCCGGAGAGGTCCTGAACCTGCTAGGCACCGACTCGGAGCGCCTGCTTAACTTTGCCGGGAGCTTCCATGAGGCCTGGGGCCTGCCCCTACAGCTGGCCATCACCCTCTACCTGCTGCACCAGCAGGTGGGTGTGGCTTTCGTGGGTGGGCTCATCTTGGCCCTGCTGCTGGTCCCTGTCAACAAGGTGATTGCCACTCGTATCATGGCCAGCAACCAGGAGATGCTGAAACACAAGGATGCCCGGGTTAAGGTGAGGGCTTGGGACCCCTCTCAGCAACATGGAAGCCTTCCCCATTGTGGCATCCAGGTCCCCAGGACTCCCACCCTACCACCTCCCGTGCACCATGCCTCAGGGAGTGAGTGTGACCTACCAGGTTAAGAATTTAAGCTAGAAAATGACAGAGCTGGGTTCCGATCAGGACCCTAGCACTTATAACTTCAGTTGTCCCCAACAAGTCATTCACTTGAACCTCTACTTCCTCCCAAGGTCTTGTGAGGCTGTACAATCATGTTTTACAAAGTACCTGTCCCAAAGCAAGCTTGGAGTCAGCATAGCCCATTAGTAATGTAGCATATTAGTTAACATCTCTAAGTGGCAGCCTTGGTAGGTTGGAAAGTCATCTTTCCTACCAATGGATTTTTTTTTTAATGACAAAGCTATAAAGCAAAGTTGGCCACTTCCTTGTCTAGGGCACAGACTAGCCTGTGTGGGGAGAAGCCCAGCAGAGCCCCATCTACAGCCCCAGCCTTCTTAGGGAAGGGCTTGGGAAAGGAGTAGCTCACTGTTCAGCCAGGACCAGCCATAGGTATCATGATTATGACTCCACCCATTCTGTCATGATGGTGAGTGCCTCTACCAAGGGCTTGCCAGTTCTAGGGATCCATCTGGCCTAGCTGTCAGACCTCAGGCAGGAATAGCCTAGACTACTAAGAGAGTAAGGAAGCATCCCCCTACAGCTGGTTATGTCATGAGGCTTTCCCAAACAATCCTCCACACACCCCCACCCCTAGCCTAGGATGGCTACAGGCTAGGTCTCCCAGACCCTTTGGGGAGGCTCCCAATGTCTCCTCAGAGTACAGACAGATGCGCAACTATTACGGTACAAAGAGTTCTCCTGTGGCTATCTGGCCTGGGTACGTTGGCTTGGGGGGCCCAGGCTGCAATGTGCCCTCTTTGGTCTGTTCTGTGGGAACAGCTGCTGTATCCCCACCAAGCTATGGGCCACAACTGGCAGCCTGTTCCCAAAGCCCATGTCTTAAGGCTTTGGGAATTGGTCGCTTGTCCATCATCTACTGGGAGAAGGAGAGTTTTTACCCTGTGTGAGGCCTGCGTGCCTCCTTCACCTCCCAGGAGAAAAAAAGAAATTCCAGTTCCCACTCATTCCCCCAAGTGGAGCAAATGGAGAAAATGTAAAAGACTGGAAGGAATGAGAAAGATCCGAGGGATGGGATTTCTAGAAGGGACAGAGACAAGGAAGAAAGCCCAGGGCTGGGGAAGGACAGAACATCCAGGAGCTCAGAGTCCTGGGCATGCTTAGCCAGCAGCTGGAGGAGATGGGGGGAGACTGGGCAAAGGAGAAGGCACATGAACAGTGTCTCCACCTCACACTGCCCATTTGGTCCCTGTCCCTAGCTCATGACAGAGCTGCTGAGCGGCGTGCGGGTCATCAAATTCTGCGGGTGGGAGCAGGCACTGGGGGCCCGAGTGGAGGCCTGCCGGGCTAAAGAGCTGGGGCGACTCCGTGTCATCAAGTACCTGGATGCAGCCTGTGTCTACCTGTGGGCTGCCCTGCCAGTTGTCATCTCCATCGTCATCTTCATCACCTATGTCCTTATGGGGCACCAGCTCACTGCCACCAAGGTAAGGACCAGGAAGGGAGGAGAGCAGATGTGCTAAAAAGGCATGGGAGGGGACTCAGACCCTCAGTGCTAGCTGGGGAAGACAGGAAAAGGATTCTGTGGCTTCATCCAGCCAAGGGGACACTCTGAGACATGGCATCGCCATCCTGCCTTCCAGTTAGTCCTGGATCTAACAGTCAGATCTGTTTATCCTTGTTTTAACAATTTTGCAGGGAGAAGCCCATGACCCATTTCTAGGTCTGGCCAGCACCCAGGGACAATGCTGCACAGTTATTGGGGGAACTCAGAGTGAGCCAGCTTTGTGCGCTTGCAAAGATGTAGTCTGAAACCCTGCATGAGTGTCCGGGAGTGCCAGAACCGTCCACTGAGGCCCTCGGTTCTGCTGCTGCCCTGTTTTTCCTCCTCAGGGCGCCCTGTGTCTCCAGCAGGCTCTCTGGCAGCTCTTGGGCATCAGACTGATGCCTTACTTCCGTTCCACCCCTCATAGGTGTTCACAGCCTTGGCACTGGTCCGTATGCTCATCCTGCCCCTCAACAGCTTCCCTTGGGTGATCAACGGTCTCTTGGAGGCCAAAGTGTCCTTGGACCGGATCCAGGGTTTCCTGGATCTTCCGAACCACAGCCCCCAGGCGTACTACAGCCCAGGTAAGAGGAAGCCAGAGGGCAACACTGGCAATGGGGAGGGAGAGAGGGAATGTGGCCTCTGAGTCAGGGAGAGGGCAGGCCGAGGCCGAGTGAGTTCTGGGCAATGGACGGGACAGACGCACTGATAGCAACATGCCCTGGGTGACCTACCTGAGCAGGCTGGAGGTGGGTCAGGAGCCAAGTTGAGTAGCTGCATCTCTGTTCAGATCCCCCTGCGGAGCCATTGACGGTGCTGGAGCTGTGTGCAGCCCTGTTCTCCTGGGACCCCATTGGTAGCAGCCAAGAGATCTTCATCAGTCACCTGGAAGTGAAAAAGGTTCGCTGGGCCAGAAACCCTGTCCCAGCCTGTCTCAGGGGTGTGTTTTTCCTGCCATGTTTCTTGGCAGCTGTGAAGTTCAGAGGAGACCCTGGGGCTTAGCCAGCATCCCTCCAGGCTAAAGATTTTGCCCATGGCTTGGCTGTGCTCTGTGTGTGTGACTTGCTGTCAAGCAATCACAGCCCACAACACACATGGCAACATGCACAGGGGAAGAAGAACCTGCAGGGGGAATGTTCCTGGCCAGAAGGGGACTTCCACCCCCACCCACCCCAGTCCAGAGCTGTCACTCTCCCCTGACCTTTTTCTGACCCCTTACCCCATGGCTCAGCCCAGTCTGTTCCAGGGGTGACTGATTTGCCCCTGTCATGCTTGGCTCACATTTCTGGCTGGGGCTGTGTGTGTATATGTGTCTGTTGTTTGTGTGTTTTCTCTTATTTTAGGCAAGACAAGGCTAGAATGTTTCAAAGGAATTCTACTAATGTGTTAGTTGGGGCTGTTTGGATGTAAGTCATAAAAACCAACTGGAGCTAGCTTAAGCAAACAAGAATTGAGAATAGGGACATAGAATTGAATTGCAGACTTCCAAGCCAAGAATACAGCCAGATCTCAGACATGGCCCCAGAACCAGGCCTCAACTTGCACAGCTCCCTGCCCTCTCCCTGCCTCGCACTCATTTATTTGCCTCATTCTCTCTCCGGAGATCCACACTCCTCTGAATGGAAGGAGTGGCCGCAGTCAGCAGGGAGAAACCTCCTCTTGGATGTGATCCCACACTCCCTGGGAAGGGCTAGGGTTAGCCTTTGGGCCACCAAGTGGATCTACCCAGGCCTGCAGGGCGGGGACATCACAAACAGCCCAGCCTGTTCCTGGAGGAGGAAGTTGTTCTGGTGTTTGTTTTTTTTGAGCAAGGAAAGATTTCCATGGGGTGTATGTAGCAACTAAGAAATGAGGGAAGAACAGAACGTCTGCAGCTGAAAATCACAGGGCCGCACACTTGTCCAAAGAGGGGGGCCAGCCTTTTGCTGCAGGGGACTTAGCCAGTGTGACCTCCAGGTGCTGGAGCCTGGGGTTGTCCTTCTGCCCCTCTTGCCACTCTGGGATGCAACACTTAATCACATGATTTCCTTGCAGGGAATGCTGGTGGGCGTCGTGGGCAAGGTGGGCTGCGGGAAGAGCTCCCTGCTGGCTGCCATCTCTGGGGAACTCCATAGGTACCATCCCCCAGCATGCCCCGCCCTCAGCTCTGCACTTGCCGAATTGCTGCTGAGTGTCAGGCACCTTTTGAGGGGGGGCACAGGAGCCCCCCAAAAAACAAGACACAGTCACTTTCTCGAGTGAATTGTTCAGTGTGGAAAGGGAGAGGCTGTCTGGAGAGGGATGGACCATCACTGTCCCGACCCCTGGGGAAGGAGACAAGTGGATCTGATGTCTGCTGTTCTTCAGTTGTACTGTAGGGGGACCCAGGGAGGCATGTGAGTGTGACCGTGGGAAGGATACCCTTAGCCAGCCTCAGCCTCTTCTGAGCTCCTGGGCAGCCCAGACAGGACAGCTGCTGGGCTCAACCAGAGAGCAGTTTCTTCCTTCCCTGATCCACCACGAGCCTGCAGCTTCATTTGCACCACTAGCCCCCAGCAGCTGCCAGCTCACAGTCACCTGCCATAGGCAGAGGGACCCTGTGTGAGCTGGGAGCTGAGCCCCGATGCTGCTGGGCTGCTTTGCTCTTCTGCCCTGCAGGCTGCACGGACGAGTGGCAGTGTCAGGGCTGTCCAAGGGCTTCGGCCTGGCCACCCAGGAACCGTGGATCCAGTTTGCCACCATCCGGGACAATATCCTCTTTGGAAAGTCGTTTGATGCCCAGCTGTACAGACAAGTGCTGGAGGCCTGTGCCCTCGATGATGACCTCCGCGTGAGTGCACAGCCTTACTTGCTTTCTCATGGGTCCCTGCAACCTCAAACCAGAGACTTGTTTCTCTGAGGGGTAGCCTCTGTAAGGGATCGTTTATATAGAACTGCTCAGCACACTTGACTCCTTCCAAAGCATCCAATGACTTTGTCCCCATCTCCACAGGGCCCAGAAGGCTGGTGGTAATGGAGTGATGTCCTCCCAACCCCTGTGAAAGCACTGAAGCATGTGAGGGTGGCAGTCAGGGGACTCCTTTAGTCTTAGGTCTGGCTACTGGGTCCACTCAGAGGGCCTTCCCAGTCTCCTACAGGGAAGGCTTGCCAGGGTCAAGGTGTCACTTGGAAACTTAGGGAAGCCTGCCAAGCCCATTACATCCACACCACCACCCCCCTTTGCCTTCCAGCCAGAGTGCTGACTTCTTAGGAGAGTCAGGATTTCTCTCATGACTCCTCCACCCAGCTCCATGTCCCCTCCGTCCATCACTGCTGCACACCCCTCCCTGGGGATGTGTCAGTCTTTCCTGGGAAAAGAGCGCCTTTGACTTTGACCTTTAGATGTCCTGAGGTCATTTATCATTTATTTGCTTTATACATCAAGCATTTCCCAAGTGGCTACTGGATCCAGTGTTGTCTAGATACTAAGAAAGAGTGACTACCCCTTTTTGCCCTGGAGACACTCACTGGCTAGTACACCACAAAGTTGCCCTCTGGGTCCAGGGACCCTCTGGCTTAGCAGGCCGCTTCTGAGGCCCTAGGACAGCTCAGGATGCTTTGCTTCTCTAAAAGACCTATGAAAACTTTCACATCAACCTGTCCCATGGGCCCTCCTGCCTGTTACCAAGGCAGGGTGGGTTTGGGAAAGCCAATGGGCTCCATTTGGGATACTGGCATCCATATTGGAATGCCTGGGCTACTTGGTTTCCAGTCGGGCTTCCTGCTAGTGTGCTCCTGGGAGGCAGCAGGTAATAGCTCAGATATTTAGGTTCCAGGGCCTTGACTTTGGTCTGGCCCACCCCTGCCTGTCATAGGCATTTAGAAGAGTGAACTAGAACCAGAGAATGGAAAATCTCTCTCTGTGAAGTCAAGTAGGGAAAAAAAAAGAAAAGGTCTGGACTTGTGTCCTGCCTGTTCTCACTGTGGTGAGCCTGTTTGACCTTTGATCTTATCTGTGAAAAGGAAATTCACCAACATCATAAGGTTGTCATGGCGTTTGAATGAGCTGAGGATGCAGGACGTGTTGGGGACATATTAGATAATATTGAAATTAGGGTTGGTCTCCTCTGACTCGCCCCAAAATTGAAGTTCAGTGTCTGCAAACCCCTCTACTGGCTTGACTTGCAAAGCGATGGGCGATGAGGTGGATGGTATTGAGGAGCTCACAGACCCGCTGGGGTGTTTATTTTGTCAGCTCATGCCGGCTGGAGACCAGACTGAAGTCGGGGAGAAGGGTGTGGCCCTCAGTGGGGGCCAGCGGGCCAGGATTGCCCTTGCTCGTGCTGTCTATCAGGTAAGTTAGAGGGAGGAGACTGGCTTGGGTTAGGAGGCATCCCAAGCCCCAGGCACTTGGCTGAGTGGGGGAATAGGGATATTTCCCCAGCATCCAGTTCTTTTCTTGTCTCCCTATGGTCCTGAGAAGTTGGCCTTCCCAACTCCCTTCAATGGATCCAAGGCAGAGCTCTAGGCCCTTTAAAGACCACTATGTGGGAAAAGAAAAAAAAAAAGCATTGTGTGGACTGAGGCTGTGGTGCCCAGGGTCCCAGTGCCAAGGGTCCTCCTGCTTCCCCCCAGGAAAAGGAACTCTATCTCCTTGATGACCCCCTGGCTGCTGTGGATGCAGACGTGGCCAATCACCTGATGCACAGGTGCATCCTGGGCATGCTGAGCCACACCACACGACTGCTGTGCACCCACCGCACTGAGTACCTGGAGAGAGCGGATGTGGTGCTACTGATGGACGCTGGGCGACTCATCCAGGCCGGTAACGTGGACAGGAGTCTAGTCGAGGGAGAGAGGCATCTGCTTGGGTGTGACTAGAGAGACACAGGTGGATCGTCAGATGTGTCCCGAGCCCAGCCAAAGTCCCCTCCTGCCTCTGCAGAACTAGGGCATGGCTGTAGGAAAGCAGGAGACTGGAACATAGTGGCACAATGCCAGCAGCTTTAGGATTCTGAGGGTTGGGGGACCTGCTACTGGTCTTGGAAACTGAGAAGTGCACAGTGTCTGAGAGCAGCCTGATGCCCTCAAAAAGGAACATATGGTCAGGTGGAGGACAGCCTTTGTGAAAACAAGCAAACCAAGTCTGAAGGCTTCTTGCCCAGAGGGACATGACATACTGGTAAGCTCATGGGGAGAGAAGCCGGAAGAACATAGAGCCTTAGGAATGAAACACCAGCATGAGGAGGACCGATTTGGGTGGGAATGGGCAGGACTGGATAGGTACATGTGTGCAACTGCAACTGTCCTCCAAGGATGAACATCTGGCCAGCTGGATGGTCTCCAAGTGCCTTGATGAGCCCTACAGAGGCTGGGGCAACCAGTGTAGAACTTGTACGTGTGTTTATTAGGAAGGCAGGGCACAGAGCCATTGCAGCCCCTGCTGTCTGCTCCTCCCAGGGCCCCCATCTGAAATTCTGCCCTTGGTCCAAGCCATCCCCAAAGTCTGTGGCGAGGAAGGACAAGAGCCTGACTCAGGTATGGTCCAAGGGGACAGGAGGGAGGGGCTTGCTTTTCGCTGCCACACTGTGGAGAATGCCTTTCTTCTCTACGAAGCTGGCCTGCTCCTCTGAAACCTGCAATGCTCAATTGTCCTCTGCATCCTTAATTCCTCTGTACGCCCCAATGCCTACAGCCAAGGCCCAGTCGGCTCCCAACCCAGAGAAATCCCAAGAGGGGCTGGACGTGGAACCACGTGCCTGTGGGCGCCTGCTGGGGGAAGAAAGCAAGAAAGAGGGTGCTGTGGCCTTACACGTGTACCGGGCATACTGGAAGGCTGTGGGCCCGGCACTGGCCCTGGCCATCCTCTTCTCACTGCTCCTCATGCAAGGTGAGAGGATGGCCACACATCTTTTACACTATCTCCGATCGTGCTGTTCAGCCTTGCGTCACCTTGGACTAATCATTGCCAAGCCCAGAGACTCACCACGCATGAGCAACAGTGGGACAAAAGGCATGCCCCACCCACCCATTCTGAGAGAGTCCTGGGGCTCAGAGGGGTACGTTCTCTCACCATTTTCTGATCACCCTCTCCCTCAGACTACCTGGCGTCCTGCTCATGGGAGATGGTGCCGTGCCTGGAGCCAGAGGCTCATTGGCCTAGGAGAGAAGCCCCAAGTTGGGAGGCCTTAGAGTAGTGGCCAGAAGGGCAGAAGTCAGAGTCCGGGCAGAGGAAGTTGGTGTTTGAATAGAACAAGGGCAATGGGTCTGTCATGATCTTTTTCTTTCTCATCCCCTCTCAGCCACACGCAATGCTGCCGACTGGTGGCTTTCCCACTGGATCTCTGAACTGAAGGCATCCAAGAACAGCTCCCAGGAGGTGCCAGCCTCTGCCAGCCTGGCTCCCACAGGTCCCTTCTCACCGCAGCTGCTCTTCTTCTCTCCTGGAAGCCTCAAGTAAGTGGCTGAGGCTGAGGGCAGGCCTCGTGCTTTCAAAGTGGTCCCCAGTCAGAAAGTGGAGGGTAAGCGGGATGTGTCTCCTAGCAGATGTGGAGGCACCCAAAGGGAGGGGAAGGGGCCCCTGACTTTTGGTTACCCACAGCCCCTTCCCCACCATCCAGCACCCCAGTGCTCCCACTACCCACAGCTGCCCTCAATGGCTCCTCAGACGTCCATTTCTACCTCACCATCTACGCAACCATCGCTGGCCTCAACTCCCTGTGTACCCTCCTCCGGGCAGTGCTGTTTGCTGCAGGCACCCTGCAAGCAGCTGCCACCCTGCATCACCGTCTGCTGCTTCGAGTCCTCATGGTGAGGAGTGGGGAGGGGGTGGCGGAATGCAGCCCTAGTCCTGCAAAGTGACCTGCCAGGACATGGGTTTCAACAGGGGGTGGGGACTGTTGTACCCTCAAGTCCTTAGAACTGTGTGGGTGCCCCACTTGACAACCTCCCAGACCCAGAGGCTCAGGCCCTGGGTTCAAAGCCAGTCACGGAAGCCTGTATTTTCCCATTTGTAAAGTGAGACAAAAAAGAGGGAAGAAATATGCCTGAGTTATTTCCGTTTGGGGTTAAGGTTCCGGATGTTAGACCCTTGATTCATGGGGGGCCCCTTTCCCTTCCCATTCTGTGCCCATTACCCTCTTCTCCTTGCTGGGCACCAATCTTTGCCATGCACAGCGTCTGTCTTCTCCTTTATCTCTTTAAAAAATGCCTGTGGTGTGTGCATGTAATTCTAATTTATGGAAATGTTTCTGGGTTACATCCAATGTTCCATCTCTTCCATTTTTATTGAAGCTGTTTCTAAGATCGTTCCCGTTGCTATGTGTCGATCTAGCACATGGTTTACCCCTTATGAGTGAGAATTAGACTTGTCAGCACATGGTGAGTGCTTAGGGTGCTGGCTGACACATAGTGAGTGCCTGGCCAGCAGTTTACTTTGGATGTTCTCACTACAAAGTCCTAGTCTGTCCATTGTCTTCTCAGGGTCTCACCAGGGTCTGGGAGGCAGGTACCATTAACCCCATTTCACAGGTGAGCAGTCTGAGGCACTAAGAGATAAAATGACCTGGCCAAGGCTGGTGCTTGTAGAGAGCCATGTTGTGACCTCAGTACTCTGGGGGTCTCCCCACTGCCTGTCTAGCAGCAGCTGCCCAGGTCCCGCCTCCTCCTAGGAGCCAAGAAGGGGGCACCCTCCTGCGAAGGAATCAGAATCTCCTAAGATACTTCTAAAAGATGTATTTATTTTTATCAAAAAGGCAGATTTATAGAGAAGGAGCGGCAGAGAGAAAGATCTTCCATCCACTGGTTCATTCCCCAAGTGGCCACAATGGCCTAAACTGAGCCGACCTGAAGCCAGGAGCCAGGAGCTTCTTCTGGGTCTCCCTCATGGGTGTGAGGTCCCAAGGCTTTGGGGCATCTTTGGCTGCTTTCCCAGGCCACAAGCAGGGAGCTGGATGGGAAGCAGGGCAACTAAGACATGAACAAGCGCCCATATGGGATCCCAGCAGATTTCAGGTTTCGTGTCTCCTAAGTTGACATAGAGGTGCTTTGGAAGGTCATTTGACCTAGTCCACTGCCTCAGTTCTTCACTGGGAGGAGGTAGGGAAAGAGCTGTCTGTGAGACTGCTTGTACCCATTGTTATTGAGCACCCACTGTGTGCTAGGCTGACTGTGCTGAGCATTTGACTACTATCTGTGAGGAGCTCTCAACAAGTTCATTGAAAATGTAATTAAAACATAGTATCGGGGTGAGCATTTGGCCCAGCAGTTAAAATGATGACATCCCCCTTCCCCAGTGTCGGGGCTCAATGACACCCTCCAGCACTTGACTGACTGAAGTCTCCTGCTCATGCAGACCCTGGGAGGCAGTGGGGATGGTGCACGTGATCAGATTCCTGCCACCTACCTGGGAGACCTGGGTGTCATTCCCAGCTCCCGACCTCAGCCCTGGCTTCACACCCGTTTGAGGCATGGACCAGTAGATGGAGATCTGTCTCTGTACTTCTCAAGTCAATTTAACAAGATAAGTTTAATTGAAAGTACTTTTTTTTTCAAATTGGTGATTTGTGCAGTACAAAAGGCTCCAAGATAACATTTCATTCTGGCTCTGGGTGGCAAAGGATGCCATGATGCAGGCAGATGCTTAAACAGGAATGGGATCTAGAGGCCACCACCACCTCCACATTAAGGGACGGCTTAATTTTTGCCAGGCGTTTTGTTTGTTGTTTTGTTTTGTTTGAAAGGCAGAGTTACAGAGAGAAAGAGAGGATTTTCCATCCACTGGCTAACTCCCCAGATGACTGCAACGACCGGGGCTGGGCCAGGCCAAAGCTAGAAACCTGGAGCTTCTTCCAGGTCTCCCATTGGGTGCAGGGACTGTCCTGTGCTGCTTTCCCAGGCACACTATCAGATCTGACATGGAGTGAGCCCGAGTATAAGCAAGCCCCCATTTGGGATGTTTGGCAGCTCGTGATGTGGATTTACCTGCAACACCACAGTGCCAGCCTCTTGCCAGATTTCTTAGTTTAACCTGTGGCCAAGGGGCCCTTTCCTGCCACCTTGACTTTCAGTTCTTTGAGGTTTTTTTTTTTTTTTTTTGAAAGCCTTATCTTCCTCATCTATCTCCCAGGCCTGTTTCAGTGGCTTCCCCTTACTCTGTTCATGTAAGACTTAGCACCTGGCTGCCTGTCCCCCTCCCCCAGCTCCCACTGCTGTACCTGACTCTCTGCTTCTGTTTTCCCTCAAACTTTCTGAACTGCCACTGTACACAGCCTTCAGTCCTAACAGCCTGGGGAGGTATGGCCTCTGATTGTCCCCTTTTTCAGATGAGGCTTTGAGGGATAGATTAGTCCCTTGCCTGGGGTCCCCCCAGTTTTAGGTAGCAGTTGTGGATGATTCCAGAGCCCTAACCCTTAATCCTGCAGTCATCCTGCCTCACACTTCTATCACTCCCTGGTCTGCCAGCCCCACCTTTGGGAGACACAGTAGCTCCCTCACCTCCAAAGCAGTATGTGTCTAGCCCAGAAGGAGAGGAATTGGCAGTGTGGCTTCTTGGGGATCCCCACTGGGCAGAGGGCTGGGAGAGTGTGTCATTTCCACCCTTGGGATAGTTTTTCCACAAGTTCAACAACCCCACATTGGTACCCACCCCCAGACTCTCCCCCAACCTCTTTTCTACCAGTTCTTGCCCTTGCCCAAACCATACCTCCTCTCCCAGGCTCCAGTGACTTTCTTCGACTGCACGCCCACCGGCCGGGTCCTGAACCGCTTCTCCTCCGATGTGGCCTGCGTGGATGACAGCCTGCCCTTTATCCTAAACATCCTGCTGGCCAATGCCGCGGGCCTGCTGGGCCTCCTGGCTGTGCTGGGCTCGGGGCTGCCCTGGCTGCTGTTGCTGCTGCCACTACTGAGTGTCATCTACTACCGCGTGCAGCGCCACTACAGGGCGTCCTCGCGGGAGCTGCGGCGCCTCGGCAGCCTCACGCTGTCCCCACTCTACACCCACCTGGCCGATACCCTGGCCGGCCTCCCCGTGCTACGGGCCGCCGGAGTCACCCACAGGTGTGTGAAGTGTGCCTCTGCCAGCCAAAGCCCAGGACAGTGAGCCACTATAGATGGAGAGAAGAGGGCCATGTAGGGTGGTGGGTGGTCAGGGGTAGGATAGGGGGGAGTATGCCCCCTGAGGGAGGAGGAAAGGAGAGATGATGGTACCACGTGGGCAGAACAGACCCCTCCCTGCCCCAGCACCACTTCCAAAAAAGCACACTGGTGTTTGGGTTCCCAAGCTGAGGCCTGAGGGTGCATAGATTAGTTCCCGAGGAGGGAGTGTGCTATGGAGAGGAGATGGATGGTCTGTGTGACAGTGCAGTGGCCTCACTTCTCTCCTGGAACCCCCCCAGGTTTGAGGAAGAGAACCAGCGACTCCTGGAACTAAACCAGAGGTGCCAGTTTGCTGCCAGTGCCACAATGCAGTGGCTGGACATCCGGCTGCAGCTCATGGGGGCAGCAGTGGTCAGTGCCATTGCAGCCATCGCCCTGGTGCAGTACAGGCAGGGCCTCGCCAACCCAGGTGCTACCTGCTTATCCCATGCTGCTTTCTTGCCCCAGGCCTCTCCCTGCCCCTTGGGAGTCCCCCACATCATCAGTCATGACCCCCTTCCCAAAGTTCCAATTTTAGTATATGTGCTGCTGAAGCAAGCACTCCCTTCCCAAAGTTGAGGACACCACATCTCAGGGAATGACTTGCCGGGGGGTAGATGTGGGACCATGGTAAACCATCCCATCTTCCTTGATCCATTCCCTGCTCTCAGCCTTGTCTTCCACCTGTCAGCAAGGCCCACTCCGCACCCTGCAGCCACTGGCTGTGCTTCGGGCTCCTTCTGTTCAGCCACTCTCCCCAACACTGGTCCCAGGCTCCAGGTCTCCTCTAGCAGATGTGTCCCTGTTCCCTAGGGCTGGTGGGCCTGTCGCTGTCCTATGCCCTGTCTCTCACGGGCCTGCTGTCGGGCCTGGTGAGCAGTTTCACGCAGACGGAGGCCATGCTGGTGAGTGTGGAGCGGCTTGAGGAGTACTGCTGTGACCTGCCCCAGGAACCCCAGGAGCCCCCAGGCTGGCCACAGCAGGTGCGTTCTGCAGCCCCAGGCCCCCTTCCTACGGTCTTTTCCAGCTCCTCTCACCTGCCTGCATGCATGATGGCCACCATTCCTCTGCCATGCTTGTGTCTGTCCTTCCCCACGTCTCCTGCACCTCTCACTCCCTCCCCCACTTCCCATCATTCTCACTCCCATCTCTTTACGCACAGCCCCACCAGCAGGGCGTCAGCTGGCTGACCCAGGGCAGTGTGGAGTTCCAGGATGTGGTGCTGGTGTACCGGCCAGGGCTGCCCCATGCCCTGGATGGTGTGACCTTCCGTGTGCAACCTGGGGAGAAGCTGGGCATCGTGGGCCGCACGGGCTCTGGCAAGTCCTCCCTACTGTTGGTGCTCTTCCGGCTGCTGGAGCCCAGCTCGGGGCGAGTGCTGTTGGACGGCGTGGATACCAGCCAGCTGCAGCTGGCCGAGCTCAGGTCTCGGGGCAGGCAGAAGGGAAGCGGAACTGCTGGCATGTAGAGAAGGCCCAGCTATCAGAGGGGTGAGATGGAAGACAGGACAAAGCAAAGGAAGGACAAAGCAGTGCTCAGGCCTCACTTCCCACTTGGGGGTCTCAGGATGCCCTGACCAGGGGAGCTTTACAACTCAATCATTCTCGTTACCTCCCAGTATCCTCACACTAGACACCATCTCTCTCAGTGCTCGGCCCCACAACACCCAACCCTTGGGTCTTAGGATTGGCAGGTGGTGCTTGGGACAGCTGGGGAGCTGGGCCTCTCATTGGTGGCCACAAGTGGCCTCAGCTGGGGTATGTGTGTCCGCATTCCGCCCCGCCCCCACTGCCGCCCAACCCCACACCCAGGTTCACCTGGGGATCGTTTCCTGTAAATCTCACAACAGAGGAATACCCAGAAACTGTCTTTAATCCATGAGCACACTATCCATCCACTGCCCTTCTTCCCAGTCTTGGAAGCGGCAGTGCCTTACCTTATAGCTCACCACATGGCTGCTTAGAGACCAATTCCAGGCCTACTCCAACCTCGAAGTGTCCCCCGTCTCCCCGATTCAGCTGCTATGGGCATTCCCTGCCTAGCCACTGCTGTCCCCAAGTCAGGGCATATATTTCCTCCAAGTCTTGTAGCTCAGTACAATCTAAGCTTTTTTAAAAATTATTATTTTATTATTGGAAAGCCAAATTTACCGAGAAAAGGAGAGATAGAAAGATCTTCCATCAACTGGCTTACTGCCCTAATGGCCAGAGCTGAGCCAGTCTAAAGCCAGGAGCCTCTTTCTGGGTCTCACATGTGTGCATAGGGTTCCAAGGCTTTGGGCCATCCTCTACTGCATTCCCAGGCCACAAGCAGGGAGCTAGATGGGAAGTGAAGCAGCTGGGACATGAGCGAGCTCCTATATGGGTTTCTGGTGCTTACAGGAAGAGGATTAGCCAATTAAGCCATCATGCCAGGCCCTAAGATATAAGCTTCTTGAGGACAGGGCCTAGGCCTTGGGTGCCTTTGTTGCTTGTGGCACTGGCATAGTCTCATAGACATGGCTGATAACTGGTGCCCTGATGGGAGTTAAGGCATCCTGGCCTGAGGCACCAGCCCCAGAACTAGAAACTGTACTGAGAGCAGTAGTGGCCACATCTGCAACTCACATGGAAGCTGTATCTCTCTCCCCCCAGATCCCAGCTGGCTGTCATCCCCCAAGAACCGTTTCTGTTCAGTGGGACCGTTCGGGACAACCTGGACCCCCAGGGCCTACACGAGGATGGGGCACTGTGGCAGGTGCTAGAGCAGTGCCACCTGAGAGAGGTGATCAGCTCCGTGGGTGAGTGCTGTGCCCCTGGCCTCTTCTGGGCAGCAGGGAGAGGTGGGGCTCCATGGTAAAGCCACCCTGGCTCACAGGTGGCCTGGATGGTGAGCTGGGCGAGGGAGGCCGGAGCTTGTCCTTGGGGCAGAGGCAGCTGCTGTGTCTGGCCAGAGCTCTGCTCACAGATGCCAAGGTAAGGTGAGAGGGAGAACCATGTACAGGACCAGGGGAGAGGGAAAAGGTGGGCAGGGCTGCAGGTACACTGAGCTGAGCTGGGCCAGACAGAACAGGAGGTAGAGACTGGTAAGGCAGTCCAGCTCACCCCACAACCTCTCCTCCCCATTCCTACACCTTCTCTGGATCCCTCGCAGATCCTGTGTATTGATGAAGCCACAGCCAGTGTGGACCAGAAGACTGAGCAGCTGCTCCAACAGACCATCCGCAAACGCTTTGCAGACAAGACCGTGTTAACCATTGCCCACAGGTGTGCTCACTGCCAGGGCTTGGAGTGTCATCAGGGCCTGCAGGGACCTGGGACCAGAGCCTGTTCTTTTTTGGGGTCCTAGGGTCCTCCAGGAACTACTGCTCCAAGCTCATTATGGCACACAAGGAAGGGACCTCTGTGGTCTCTCCTCCAGCCAGGAGAGCCAGGGTTAGGGCAAGCCTGTGGGGACAAAGCTGTTCTATCCAATGAGGGCAGAGTGAGTGTGGGCGGGCTGGGGGGGCAAGCCGCTCAGCTTTTTCCCTTAGGGCATTACCCACCCCTCCCATCCCCCCACCCCTAGCACCTACACAGATCCTCCTCTGACTCCCTGCTCCTACAGGCTCAACACAATCCTCAACTCAGACCGGGTCCTGGTGCTGCAAGCAGGAAGGGTCGTGGAGCTGGACTCACCCAGTGCACTGCGCAGGCAGCCCCATTCGCTGTTCCAGCAGCTGCTGCAGAGTAGCCAGCAGGCAGCCCCATGAGAGCCCCGTGCCCTGGGCCCCCACTCCTCCCGTCTGGCACACAGCTGGGCCTGCTGGTTTATAATCTCCCATGTGGTACTACCTCTCCCTCCCTTCCCCACTGGGAGAAAGAGCTAGCTGTCTGAGCTCCTTCGTGGGGTGGGCAGAGCCCCAAGGTGTCTTCTGAACCAAGCCTCCGCCTCTAGCCCTTTACAGCTGGACTTTTCTGGGATAGGCGTTCATGTGGCATTTTCAGATTTTTATTTGATAAAATCCCCATCTTATATTCTGTGTATTAAAAAAATAGTATATTTCTGGCAAGAGGTTGAAGTCCCCTTGGCGTGTGGATCACCAGAGCCGAGGGGTGGAGGAGGCAGGGAAGGGGGCTGCCAAGCCCCTACCCCCTCTGTCACAGTGCTGTAGTCTTCCCAGGCTCCAGGGGCAGGTCAGGTGGCACGGGCAGCACCGTGGCCAGCATGCTGACCTGGCACTCCTGATCCTGGCATGCTGGGGCGTAGTGTGGGGCAGGGTAGCAACAGGGTCCAGGGGGGCAGACCCCCCGGTGCCAGGCTCTCAGGGTTAGCAGCATGGTGGCCAGGACCAGGGCCACGGTGAGGGCCCCAAATACCACCAGGGCCACCAGGCTCGGTTCCCCGAGGTCAGCCTCCTGCCTCCGCACCACTTCCTTCACTGAGATCCGCAGCAGCCCAGCCCCCATGCTGCGGGGGGCTGGCTCTGTGACAGGTGCCACCACTGACAAGGTGGGCCCCAGAGGGGTGTCTGCTGTGGTGGGAGGGTCAGGGGCAGATAAGACAAGCTCACAGGTCTTGCCACCGTAGCCACTGGGGCAGAGACAGTCAAAGTCGTGCACACGGTCCCGACAGCGGGCTCCTCTCTGGCAAGGATGGCTGGCACAGTCATCCAGATTGATGGTACAGAAACGTCCAGCAAAGCCCTCAGGACAGAGGCAGGAGAAGCGGTTGACACCATCAAGGCAAGTGGCACCATTGGCACAAGGCCGCATCAGGCAGTCGTCCACATTCACCTCGCAGTGGGCACCCACATAGCCTGCCAGGCAGCGGCAGGTAAAGTTGAGGGCAAAGCCCTGGTCGTCTTGGCACTGTCCGCCATTCCGACATGGGGAGCTGGGGAGGGGACATGGAAGGGGAGAAAGATGCCAAGTTACTCACAGCCACAGGACAGTGCCCTGACCACAGCGTCCCACTCTCCAGCTCTCTGTCACCTTGGGGCACCCTTTTCAGAGTTCTCATCTGCCTCATTTTAAAAGAGCATAAAAATAGTCCCAAGCCAACACATAGGAGTTAAATAAGATAATGGGTGTTAAGCAGTTAGCACAGGGTCTGGCCCAGAGGCCGGGCTCAGGGTTAAGTGTGCTATTATCTTCACAGCCGCCAAAGCTTGCAGACAAAAGGATAGGTCACTCCCACCACCAGCCAGCTTGCCAGGGTGGTGTGAGGATGCCCAGGCCCCTTCCCAAGCAGTCCGAGGTGTATCTCTTCCACCTGCAGCCCCCATAGACTTGAAAGAGATGGGTTCCACCCCACCTCCCACTCAGCACGGGCCCACACTCACCCTGCCTTCTCACAGGGCCCAGCCTTGCGCTCACAATCACGCCCATGGAAGCCCGGTGGGCACACGCAGTGGTACTCCCCGCCCCCATCATACACGCATTGGCCTCCATGCCGGCAAGGGGACTGTGTGGTGCAGACGTGCTCATCTGGAGAGGAGACGGGACCCATGGGCAGACAGCCCCTTACATCTGGCTCCCATTCCTGCCCAGGCCTCACTCACCAGGTTGTGCAGTCATGCCACCCTCCAACCCCAACCTTGACCTCGGGTCTGTAGATGTGGCTCACGTTAGAAGCCCTGCCCACCACCCGGGGTGCTATAAGCATCTGGTTGGGAAACAATATTGAGTTCTGTCAGTCTCTCAAAACTGCCTTTGTGTAACAGCTCCTCTCTGGGTCTCAGTTTCTCATCTGTAGAACAGGCATCATTGCTATTAGCTACCTTTACTACCTGTATGGCTGTGTCCAAGATGAGCTCATACAACAGACTGACACCCCATACTAGAGGGCATGAGTAGAATATAGCAGGGGCACCACAGGGATGTCCTCTGGGGACACAGAGGGGACCCAGCTGCCAGCTCCCACCTACCTTTGTCGCAGAACTTGCCTGCCCAGCCACTGTGGCAGATGCACTGCCAGGGCTGGTGGCAGGTACCGTGCTGGCAGCCAGGCATCCTCACACAGCGCTCACAGTGCAGCCCCTCCCAGCCTGGGTCACACCTGACCAGGAGAAGCACAAGGTCAGGACCCTGGGAGGAAAGGGAGGTGGGGCTGGAGTTGCTAGAAACCCACAGAGCATTTGACTGCTCCTATGGAAATGACACCTTGTCCCTGGTGGGCATAGGGCTGTGCAATGCCATCAGACACACGTGTGGAATCAGACCATCTGAACCGACATTCAAGCCCTGGCTCTACTCCAACCTTTCTAAGCTCCTATTGTGTCACCTATGAACCAGGCGTGTGCTGGGAAGAACATGGCAATGTCTAAATTCCTTCAGTACCCCGTTTCTGGCATGCCTGGGGTATTTGCAAGTATTTAAAAAGTAATTCTCAAGGGTCTTCAGGACTACCTTCCCACTCCAATTCCAGGGCCATCAGCTGACAGTTTGGGTCTCTGAAACACTAGCATCCCATATGGACACCAGTTTGAGTCCTGGCTGTTCCACTTCCCATCCAGCTCCTTGCTTATGACCTAAGAAAGGAGCAGAGGATGGTCCAAGTCCTTGGGACCCTGTATCTACATGGGAGACCTGGAGGAAGCTCCTGGCTTCAGATCAGATCAGCTTTGGCCATTGCAGGCACTTGGGGAGTGAGCCAGCAAACAGAAAATCTATCTCTCCTTCTCTGTAAATCTGCCCTTTCAGTAAAAATAAATCTTTATTTTAAATTTAGCTTTTAATTCCATTTCTGTGAACTTTCTGAAGTCTTCTTGTGGATCTCAAACACCCCTTGCTAGCTGAGCAACCAGCCCTGTCAGCTCCCCAACGCGTCCCTCCTCGGGCTATAGGGGCTGCCCAGCCCCCACACCGCTGGTGACTCAGTTCCTGAAAAGGCTCTCAGGAGAGTCTGTTTCATCACAGTTGCTTCTCAGCAGCACCTGCCACCCCAGCCTCTCTGCCCAGGCAAAACCAGTGCTTCAGAATCCCTGTTTAATTCTTGATAAAGCCAAGTGCAGAACGAGAAGCTGCAAGAAGTAAAAGAGGGCCAATGGGGAATGGAGTAGGACTGGAGAAAAGGCAGGCAGGTTTTGCAGATGTTTGGGTGCCATGGAGGGGGGCCTCTGGGAGGATGGGGGAGGGAGTGATCACCAGGATCTCTCTTTGTCCTGGGGCTTGACCTGACTGTGGGTATGCAGGGCTGGGGAGTGGTGAGTAAAGGGTTTAGGGACACATGTGCAAGATACCTACCTGCAGGTGCCGTCGGGCGCACAGCAGCCGTGAGCCAGGTCACAGTGGGAGCTGCAGTCATCGGCTGCAAGAGATTCGTGCGAGAAGTATGAGGCAGGGGTTGGAGTCTGCCTCTCTGGCATGCTGAACTCGCGGGGGATGGGGAAGGGGATTTGGGATTTCAAGAAGGCAAAGACTTCAGCCCAGAGTCTATAGAGAGCGTCCCATTCCGGTGGGACGGCTGCAGTGCCGTCTCTGGCCGGCAGAGGTCAACGTGCAAGCGAGGACAGAGCCGCGACCGGAGCCCCGGGGTGCGCTCACCTCGGGCAGGCTGACCCGGCGCCCCCAGGATGCACAACAGGCACACGAGACGTAGGCAGTGGCATCCGCTGGGCATGGTCAGCGCCGGCCCCGAGTGGGACGGACGAACGGACGGGCGGACGTGTGGACACCTGTGGGACGGCACTCGCTAGGACCTGGCGGCCAGACTCAAAACATAGCCGCACGGTTACGGGTTCCAAGTGACAACAGTCGACCAGAGAAAAAGAGGGGGCCGCAGGGGACGGAAGAAGGGGGTGGGGGCAGCAGGAGGGCTGGGGCAAGGGAGGGTTGAGCTTGCGAGGGGCTCAGGGGGAGTGATGGAGGCAGCAACGGAGGAGCCGAGTCGAAAGGGAAGGAGAAGGATGGGCACTCGCGGAGCTTGGCAGGGGCTGGGGCTGGGGTCACAGTCGGGATGGAGGGGCTCCCGGGATGGAGCGCCGAGAAGCGGCCTCGAGCACAGAGGGGAAGCGGGGGCGGTGGGAAGAACGGGAGACAGAGGAAGGGACGGTCCCCAGGCCAACCTCCACCTGAGACACCCCCTGGCCACCCAGGACCGGCCGCCTCGTCCCCTCCCTATCCCCGCCGCGCTGGGCTCGCGGGCGACCCAGGGCCTTGGGGTTCCCGCGGCCGCCCCCCACCCTGGCCGCGCGCGCCCCTGTCCTCCTGGTGCTCACCTCCCGCTGGCAGGCGGCGCGCCCCGGGGCGCAGAGCGAGGCCGGATCCGACGGGCTCCGCCGAGCGGCCGCCCCTAGCTGGCCGAGGAGCCAGGAGCCGAGGCGGCTGCCATGCCAGCCGCGCGCTCGGGAATCTCGGGCTCCGGGCGACCCCGGGCGGCGGCGGTGGCGCTGGCGGTGTCGGCGGCGGCTCGTGGCGCGCGCTCGGCCCGCAGCCCGCGGAGCGTGTGCCACCGGGGCCCGCCCCCCGCCCGCGCCCCGCGCCCACCCCTCCCCCCGCGACGCACGGCGCGCACCTCGCCCGGCTGGCCCCTTCCCTCGCCTGCTCGCGCCACCCCTCCTACATGCCCTCCGGTCTTGGCTGCCACCGACCCTCGCTTTCTTCCACGCGAAAGGAGGAAATCGTGGGCATCCAATTGGGAGCAAAGGGTGCAGTGCCCAACCGAGGCGGGGGGAGTGCCACCCTGACACTCTGATCACCGCCCATCCCCGCCTCCCTGACCCGCGCGTCCCACCTCTGCTCGCACCAGCCCGCTGCCCATCCACGCTTCTGCTTTACAGCCCAGGCACACTCGGGCCACGCGTTTCGCCTCCCCCTCCCACTCCCCGCCCCCAACCCTCATCAGCCTGTCCCAGGCTTCCTCCGGCGAGCTGCTCCGCTCTCTGCCAGTCTTCCCCCAGCGACCCCGCAAGGCTAGGACTCCGCACCCGGTTCCTTTTGGTGGTCAGCGCTGGGCTGGGAACGACCGTGCCTGTGCCAAGGTCCCCCAGCCCCACCCCTCTTGTGCACGTGCATGCTTGATCTCAGACTCACTCTCCGTGGCTCCACCTGTGAGGTCGGAGAGTTAGAGGGGCGTGGGGAAGGGGAGACTGGGTAGCCCCTCCAGGGGCTCGTGACCCCCCTCCCGCTCAGGGAGCAAACAAGGACCTGCAAGATAGTCTGTGGGTCCAGAACATGGGCACGCTGCTGCCCACCCCAGCCCTTCACATCTTTAGGTCCCCGCAGCACGGCTTTCCCCACGTCGGGGGTATTGGAAAGTCCCCGCCCTGCGCCCTCCACAATCTCCACCCAACCCGCACCCACCCCGACGCCTGCCCTACTCTGACCCCCTCTTCCCCGAACTGGCTTTTAAACTAATTTGAGTCATGACATGACTCTACCATATATTTTTTTCTCCAATGAAAAATTGCAGGCAACCTATAATGCCAGTATTACTGTAGACAAATAGATAAAGCTATCTCAGAGCCAAATGACTGCTACGAGTCGCCTTTTGGAAGGCAATGCGTCCAAAGAAAAGGCTAAGTAGGGAAAGATCAGACACAAGAACCTGCTTCAGAATGGGCAACGACTATTGACCCCTTTTAACATCTCCCTCTTCTCCACAATGAACTTTTTAAAAATGACATGAAAAGAGAAGCCAGCGGTGCAGCACGGGGTTGTTAAGCCTCTGCCTGCCATGCAGGCATCCCATGTGAGCACCCTGGGAGGCTGCTACACTTTCCATCCAGCACCCAGCTAGTTCCCCTAGGAAGACAACAGATGATGACCCAAGGAGTGGGGCCCCTGCCACCAATAGTGGGAAATCCAGATAAAGTTTAAGGTCCCTGGCTTCCACTTGGCACAGCCTCCACAGCAGGGGCCATTTGGGGAGTGAACCAGTGGATGAAAGTGCTCTCTCTCTCTCTCTCTCTCTCTCTCTCTCTCTCCCCCTCTCTCTGTTGCTCTTTTATCCCCTCTCACTCTGTAACTCTGCCTTTCAAATAAATCTTTTACAAATTAAAAACAAAAAATCACCCATGATTCTGTTCACTTGAGAAAAACCACCATTAGAGTTCTGACCCCTCTTCCTGTGCAAAAATTCTTACACAGATATGGTCATAATGTACCTACAAGGTTTATTATTATTATTATCTTTATTATTGGAAACTTAGATATACAGAGAGAAGGAAAGAGAGGAAGATTCACTCCCCAAGTGGCCACAGTGGCCGGAGCTGAGCCAATTTGAAGCCAGGAACCAAGAGCTTCTTCCAGGTCTCCCACACAGGTGCAGGTTCCCAAGGCTTTGGGTCATCCTCTACTGCTTTTTTTTTTTTTCTTAAAGGATTATTTATTTTTATTGCAAAGTCAGATATACAGCGAGGAGGAGAGACAAAGAGGAAGATCTTCCGTCCAATGATTCACTCCCCAAGTGAGCGCAATGGCTGATGCTGCACCGAACTGAAGCCAGGAGCCAGACACTTCCTCCAGGTCTCCCACATGGGTGCAGGATCCCAAGGCTTTGGGCCATCCTCGACTGCTTTCCCAGGCCACAAGCAGGGAGCTGGATGGGAAGCGGGGCTGCCAGAATTAGAACCGGTGTCCATATGGGATTGCAACATGTGCAAGGCAAGGACCTCAGTTGCTAGGCTACCGTGCCAGGTCCTCAAAAGCATAATTGTTAATGACTGTGTGATATTGCATTAAATAGATATACTATAATTTCTTGAACTTAGCTAGGTTATATTGATTGGCCACTTAGGCTGTGTTTACATTTTTGCCATTATAAAGTCATTCAACAAATATGTATTGAATATCAATGTGATCCTATTAGGAGAAGCAGAACTGCCACATATGGTCATGAATGTAATTTATCTTGTGCTCCCTTAGGAGTCTGAGTCGTGAAAAATGAAACAAATTCCCTTTCATTGATGAACAGTATTCCAATTCACTGATGAAGCAATAAATGAATTTGACACTTTTGAAGTTAATGGCATCACTTGAAATCACTTTCTATCCCCTCATGCTTCGAAGATTTTAGTAGCCGGCTGTCACTCTCTTCACTCTCATTCTGTCAAACTCTTGATGATTTAAAAAATTTTATTGGAAAAACAGAGAGAGTGAGAGAGACACAGAGAAATTTTCCATTCACTGCTTTTCTCCCCAGATTGTAGCAACAGCCACAGCGGGGCCAGGCTGAAGCCAGGAGCTGGCAACTCTATCCACTGTTCCCACATGAGTGACAGACACCCAAATACTCCAGCCCTTGCGTGCTGCCTTCCAGGGTTAGCAGGAAGCTGACATTGAAAGCACACTTGAGATTTGCACCCAGGACCTCCGATAGGCAGGCACCCCCAGCAGCAGTGTCTTACCCATTGCACCTGACACCCTCCCCGCTAATGATTCTGGATGATTTCCTTGTGATGTTGACAATTCTCTCAATCAAAGATGGTCACATACTTCCTCTTGCTTGACGTGATTTTTTGGTGATGATTTTACTTCCCCTCTCAGCAAGAGCTGGGATCTATTTCTCAACCCCTTGAATCTGAGCTAACCAGATGATTTGCTTTGGCTGATGGAACATGGTGCTCATGACACAGCATGAATCCGTAGAGTCCGGGTCTCAGAGAGATCTTGCAGTTTGCCCCACTGCACTCTTAGAACACTTCAACCTCTTGGAAGCTAGTCCAGTCTAGCCTACTGGAAGGTGAGAAGCCCACAGAGGAAAACAAAGGCATTCTTGTTAACAACCACCAAGCAGGAGGCTATATTGGGTTACTCAGCCGCCAGACCAACTCTTTCTTCTTCTTCTTCTTGGGCCATCCTCTATTGCCTTCCCCAGGTCATAGGCAGGAGCTGGAAGGGAAGTGGAGCTGGGATAAGAACTGACACCCACATGGAATCCCTTAGGCAAGAACTTCAGCCACTAAGCTACCATGCTGAGCCTGCCCAGGTCAGCTTCTTGCAACCACATGGTGGTTGTTTGAAGTCACTGAATTGCGAGATGGGTTGTTAATAACAATAATAGATACTTAAGGCAGACAACTTGCCATTTCCATGATCTCTTCCTCAGTGAGGATGGTCCAATCCCTTTGACTCTATTGCTGCTGATGGCTTCATGATCCCATAATTGGAATCTTCAATACCACATTTTCTGGGCCCGGCGCGGTGGCGCAGTGGTTAAGGTCCTCGCCTTGAATGCCCCGGGATCCCATATGGGTGCCGGTTCTATCCCGTCAGCCCTGCTTCCCTTCCAGCTCCCTGTCTGTGGCCTGGGAAGGCAGTCGAGGACGGCCCAAAGCTTTGGGACCCTGCACCCGCGTGGGAGACCCGGACGGAAGAGGCTCCTGGCTTCGGATTGGCATAGCATCGGCCGTTGCGCTCACTTGGGGAGTGAATCATTGGACGGAAGATCTTCCTCTCTGTCTCTCCTCTCTGTATATCTGCCTTTCCAATAAAAAAATAATAAAAATAAATCTTTAGAAAAAAAATACCACACTTTCTTATTGCATCCTACTGTCTTTCTGTAGTATCTTTGCCTCAAAAATTGTTCAGTCCTATTGGGATCTCTCATAAGGGTTTCATTATAACTTCTATGGGCCCTAAGCATTTTACCTTCATGGGCTCCTTCCTCTATAAAATAATGT